GCGCGCACGCGCGTAAGACCGAGCGTTCGGACGACCGCGTGACGCGCGCGAGCAAGCGTTCTCGGCGAGATGCACCCAATTGAGTATTATACCGCTATTTAGTCTATCATGTAATTTTTTATATAAATTCGGACATTTGGACAATTTCCTCCAAGGTCGCATCACGATCCATGGGTCGTGATGCTGATGCAGATCACGAAGTTTCGGGTCGTGAGGGAGATCGTGATGCCAATTTTACCCAACCTAGATGGAGACGGTGATTTCATAGTGCGTGTACGTCAAGCGTATTCGTTTTTTCTGATAGTGACAGTGATAGGCATCACGTGACTGATACTACGACATGTCGGCACCGATGTCGAGGACATACGGCGATGATGATGCGTCCATTGTGTCACCGGTCGAACCCTAGAGCACGTCACGTCGACACCGGTCGCGCGCGCTCGAAAGGTGAAATCACCGTCGATCGGTGGTGAAGGTGATTCAAATCACCACGTGTCGGGTGGTGATTCAGAATGTGATGCAGATTTTGCCCAACCGAGTCGTGATTTAGATCGTGATCGTGATTTTACCCAACCGAGCCCACGTCCCGTAGTGCGCGCGCTCGTCCCGGTATGAACGCAAATTCGACGACGCCGAGGCGGTGCCACGTGGACGCGCGCGGCGTCGCGCGAGGGATGAGGGATGGGGGTATTTCATGAGTCATCACTCGCACGTGACCATCACGCGCGATCTCCCCGCGGGCACGCGCGTGATCCACCAAAAAAAACCTTTTTCGTGGCCCGCGCGCGTCCGCGCGCGCGCTTTATCGCGCCGCGCGCGTGCGCGTCCGCGTCCACGTCGTCCCGCGCGCGGGCGAACGCGGGCGTCGAGGCGAGAGGTCGATCGTAAATTTCACGCGCGCGCGCGGGGGGGGGGGCGCCGGCGGACGCGCGCGTCGTCGGTGGTCGAAGGAGATTCGTCGGGGCGCGGCGCGCGCGGGTGGGGTGCACTTTTTGACGATTCGGCGCGTCCGGGGGGCGCGGGCGCGTCCGGGGGTGCGCGCGGTGGGATGACGCGACGAGGGAATTCCGAGCCCAGCGAGGGGGAGATCGCGGGGGCGTACGGCGCGCTCGAGCGCGCGCGGGCGTCGGAGACGTCGAAGAGCGCGCGCGGGGGGAAGCGGGCGCCCACGGGGCGCGTCGGGGCGCTGGTGCGCGCGCTGGGGGCCACCGTGAGCAAGGACGAGCGAGAGATATTAAAGCGATGCGAGACAATCGCGGATCCGACGGGGAGCGGGACGTTCGAGCTGAAAAAGGTGCGGTTGGGGATTTCGCTGGGCGACGCGTGGCTTTGAACCCTCGGGCGCGAGTTAGCGAGCGAACGACGAGACGAATGAGAGGACTGACCATTGATGGTTTCGCGTGATTTGTAGTTGGGAGATGTACTTTTGATGCTTCGCGAGGAGGGGCGTCTGCCGACGTCGACGTCGAGTGAGACGCGGGCGTCGCGAAGGGCGACGCGAGCCTCCTTTGGGACGGAGCGCGCGGGGGATGTCAAGTCGGTTTTGATCGTCGACGACGTGGCGCTGGTGCGTAGGATTCACGCCGGGCACGTTGGAAAGTTAGGGTATCGAACTATCGACGCGCGTGACGGAGCGGAGGCACTACGACTTTACGGAGAGAACCACGCCGGGTTGCAGGGAATTTTGCTGGACGTGATGATGCCCGGGATGGATGGATTTCAGACTGCGGGGGGTATCCGAGAGCTAGAACAGAAGCAAGCGTTGAGACGAATGCCCATCATCGCTGTGACTTCTCTCACCGAGAAGGAGATGCAATGGGACGACAAACTGGCGTCGTTCGATGGTCACGTGGACAAACCAACGTCGATGTCGACGTTAGCGTCCATTTTCAAGTCGATGAGCATGACGCCCGATCTACGCATATCCGAAAACGAGGCCACGGGCGCGGCTCACGCGAGTCTTCTCGATCCTCACGGAGTGAAGAGAACCAGAGGCGCGAACATGCCGTCGAGTAGCGAAAGCGATGCGGATGGAAATCTTGATGGCTCTAATGAAGGTTCGAGCGAACAAAATGGGCGGAAAGGTTCAAACAGCGATCGCGATGCGGAGGGACAGCGCTCGAGCGGGGGATCCGGGAACGAGGAAGGTCAAAATGCGTACGTTTCACCGCGATCGGAGCGCCGGGTTCGCTCACCGGGTCCGGACAACCGTTCGAGACGGCCCGCAAATGCGACGATGGCTGGCTCAGGTAAAAACACGTCTGGTGGAAACGCCAGCGATGAAGGTTCCGGTGACGCGTCTAGACAAGGTTCGGCGGACGAAGATGGTGAAATGAAGAGTACCATGGATACAAAGGCGGAGACAGCGCCTGAATCCAACGCAAAGGTCAAGGATTTGGCGACAGGAAAGGTGCCATCTGCTGATAACGGCGACGCAGAGATCAAAACGGCGACAAAAACAACTCGTGCGTCGGCTGGGAAAGCCGTTGAGAATGAAGAATCGCCGAATGCGAAAGCCATGGAAGAGAACACGCCGATACCGTGTGCCAGATGCGGCTCCGACAGGACGCGCTTTTGCTACTACAACAATGGGCTCCCTACCCAGCCACGGTACTATTGTCGCTCGTGCCAGCGCTATTGGACGGATGGTGGCATCCTCCGAAACTTGCCGGAGGGTAGTGGAAAACGGAAAGACCGCGCACCTCTAATTAACACCAATCTACCGCAGACATCAGTGCCGCTGGCACCTGAAACGGCGCCGCAGAAGCCGACAGTTCCCGTCACTACGATGGTATCTGGCGAGGCGAATGCGAATGCCCCAACCGAGATGCAACGAGCCGTGTTAATGCTAATGACGCAAGTCGCTGGATTCGATGTCAATCATGCAGCGAAACACGCTGGCGTCGTCGCGTCTCGAGCTGGTGAACAAGTGGCGCAGGCCGTGCTGCAAAACCTCGGGCACACCTCCGAGGCGATCGATATGGCCATCTCCATGGCAAAGATCACCGGTTGGCGCATTGGGTTGTCCGTGTCCGCCGTCGCCACGGCTTCCGTGAGCCAAGGATTGAATCCGGCTGAAATTTCAAACTTAATATCGACACAACTGCCGTTTTTGGCGGACACACTCGTGCGTGAAATTTCTGAGCAAGCCAAGACGATGAAGCTCATGCGGAAATCGCCGAGCGGTGGCAGTGACTCTGGTGGATCGGGCGGTACGGGTGAAGAAAATGGTGGAAAAAGCGCAACAAGCGCAAAGTCGGCCTCAACGACCGCTACCGCCACCGCCATGGGAACTTTACCCAGCACTCAGGAAGCTTTAATGCAGCGCTGGATGAGCGATTTGCGAAACTTCGGTTTTGGAGCGTCTCAGGGCACGGGCATGCCACCCGCTAATGAGACCGAAATTCCAGTGGCGCGGAAGCCATTCGAGAGCAACGTTCAAGCTACCGCAAATCTGAGAACGATCGAGAAGTCGAGCTCATCGGCGTTTGAAGTGCCCAAGTCGGCGTCGACGGGTGCATTCACAGTGCCAATGCCGGTGCCGCGTACTGCTAACGCCCCAGCTCCCATGAATTTTCCCATGAACCCGACCGCATGGCTCGCGAAAATGAATCGGCAGGCTTCGCTCAGATCTCAACAGAATAATTCAGGCACACCGCCGACGCAACAACACTTCGTGAAGACTGAGGTTCCTCGTGTGGATGACAAAACTCGTCCTGAACGAAAATGAATGATCATCCTTCACCAAAACAGTCAACTTCACCATGACACAACACGACCCACTTCCGCACCAATGACAGGAGCAAAACATGTATAACATTCCCAATAATCGTCGATCTAACGTGCTCAGATCACAATGACGTGAGTATCTATTCTTTCATTATTTCTTTTGGCATGCAAAGCCGATAAGGCCTAGAACTCGATCCGAAGTGTATTCCTTTCTCGTGTTTTGTAAACTGATCATGAGAACACGTGACCAAATATTTAGAGAAGCTCTTCTTACATCGTAACGTGATTTCCTATTTGCACACGCTTGCGATGAATTCATCAGCCGCGCTCGGTGCGTCGTCGTCGATCGGGTCTTTCACTTTGTCTTCTTGCCTAATCGGTCTGACTCTCGATATGATTCCTGAAACGTGCTCGACTGCATTACGACGGTATCGATACGCCAATGATAAAAGTAACATCGCCGCTCCACCTGCGAATAATCCAACGAAGCGCGCGGTGGAAAAGTCTGGATCTTCGTCATCGGCGACTGGAACTCCGCTCAAAGTGGAATTCTGCGGTGGATTCGACACGGCAGGCGACGGTGGAATCGGCGGCGGCGATGGCGGAGGCGGCAGCAGAAGATCAAGCACTGTTGTCGACACTGACGTTAAGGACGTCATTCCGGCGGTACGCAGAGTCTGTTCCAAATCACCAGTTTTGAGCGCTGCCGATACGTCCATCAAAGTGACCGCGCTCGACGATTCAACGAATACAGAATAATCAACGTCTATCGCCGGGATCTGCGACTGCAGTAGATGTCTCTTACGTTTCGCAATTACGTCGGCGACGCTTCGTATGTGGACTTCGTTTGCGGTGATTTCTGGAATCAGCTGCGCGACACCTGCACGAAAGGTAGCTCGGCGATTCGCATCGAATTCGCTAGATGAATACCCCACAAGAGTTGTCGTAGCGTTTACCAATCGCTCCGCCTCGCGAAACGGTGGCGGCAGGCTCGGCGGTGGACTCGGCGGCGGGCTCGGCGGTGGACTCGGCGGCGGGCTTGGACTCGGTGGCGGTGGGTTTGGCGGTGACAGGCTCGGCGGTGGGCTCGGCGGTGGGTTCGGCGGTGGGTTCGGCGGTGGGTTCGGCGGCGGGTTCGGCGGTGGGCTTGGTGGTGGGCTCGGCGGCGGTGGACTCAGCGGCGGCGACGGACACGGCACCCCGCAACCGAGTCCGCAGTCCACGGATCCGATCCCGTTGCAATCGCAGTTAGTCAACGCGTCGTATGTGCTGTTACCCACGCTACATCCGCATCCGTAATCCTTCCGATACCACCAGAGACTCTCGCGATTCGCGTGAAAGCACGAATCAGGCGCCTCAGATGACTCGCGTTGGCACGCCCCGTTCTCCCAGCAGTACGCCCAACAAAAGTCACACGTGCACGATACATCGTCCGTCGCGTTCAGCTTTTCGCACATCGCCTGTCCGTTCCATTGTCCGTACACGCAGTCGATCCCGTGACTCACGCATCCGTACGTTTCGTTGATGCTGCTGTACAGCAGGGAGCGACGGTGCGAGAGCAATGCTCGCCGCCCGCCGCCTCCGGTCGGTGCAGAGCGCGCCGCGTCCACGCCTGCGAGCGAAGACGAGACAACGGTGAGGAAGAAAATTACACGCATCTTTACGGCGCGTGTCATGGTCGCTCGCGTCGTCGCGCGAGGCGGCGTGTGTCGACGACGGTTGGTGAAACGCACCACTCGCGTCTGTTCGTCTCCCAAAGGGGAAGGGGAGACGAAGGGTCGCTCGCACGGGCTACGGTAACAACAACAACGAATACACAACATCACAATGCTTGATAACGAGCTACCGGTAGGCTATGAACTAGGCGAGCGCACGTCGCGTTCGCGTGCGAGCACGGCGCTGGGCCGTCCTTTCACCCGCGGCCCGCTCTCGAACGCGCGCAGCTCGGCGTCAAGTTGATCGTCTATCATGGCGTCGAACGCAAGCGACACGCGCTCTGCGCCCGATTCCTCCCCCTCGAGCGCGATCAACGCCTCCGAGACGCACTCCGCCGTGCTCAGGCAGTGTTCGTTCGGTTGTTTCCTTATGCGATAATTACTCTTCTTTCGAGGTAATATCGAATACTTCGCCAGCTCACTCAACCACGGAATGCGGTAATACATCGCCTTCGCCCGATGCCACGTGCTATCCAACACGATCAAATTCCTCAACCGACCGCTCTCTGCACCCAAATCACTCAAATCCGTCGCCTCGTCGCACGGCCACAGCACTCCCCAGCTTTTCTCCTCACCGTCCGCGAACGGCTTCTTCACCGCGCTCCCTCGCTCGCGTAGATCCTCGAACAACACCTTGATCTCGCACCGCTCCAGCGCGAGCTCGCACACGACCGCGGACCCGAGCGCGCGCTTGAACTCGGCGCGGTCCTGGAGCACCAAGACGTGCGTTTTGTTTCGCACCTTACCTCGCCCACCGAGCGCGCGTTCGACGGATCTACACGCGCACACGGTGAGCGCGCGTCGACATCGCGGGCAGTTCTGTCGCCGTGGACGCGCGACGGCGTCTTGGGCGGCGACGCGGGCGACGCGGGACGCCATCGTGTGCGGCGGCGGCGGCTGTTTTTTTGGAACTTCCATTGAAGAGGTTTGTCTATCTACGCGTTTTTGACTTTTTCGGTTTCGGAGCGCGCTCTGGCTCGTCCTCGGAAGACGAAAGCTCCAAATCTTCGATCTTATCATCGTCTCCGTGGTGGTTCTCGTGGTCACTGGCGGAGGATTTACGTTTTTTGAAGTCGGCGTACGCCTCATCGCCATCGATGACGAGTCCGTCTGAGTCGCTATCGTCGGCGTCGAAATCGTCCTCATCTTCTTCGTCTTCTTCGTCTTCTTCGTCTCGCTGCTCCGCCATCTGCTCGTCCATCTCCTCGTCTTCGCTATCGGACGCACCCGTGGACGGTTTACTACGCGTGAGCTTGACTTCAGAGGCTTGCTGCGCCGCGACGCGCTGCGCCGCTTTTTCATGCAGCATCTTCGCCAAGCGCGACACTGGAGCCTTGCCCTCGGTCTTCTCAGCTCTCAGGAAAGATTCCACTTTCGCTAAATCCTTCGGCGCAAAGTCCACGTTATCTCGCTTGCGAATGACCCAGTCTGTCGTGCGCTCAGAGGCCTCGATGATGGCTCGTGCGGCTTTGCGGAACCGGGTCACCGTCACGGTTTTGCAAAACTTTTTGAGCTCTCGCATCGGGATGTGGGCCAGCTCTGGGAATGCCGGAGAGTAGGCGTTTTGATGCAAGTGTTCGGCGAGTGACTCCATGCACGATTCAACGATAATATCCTGCACGCCCGGAAGACGCAAATCTTGCTTGGCCAGACGCAAAACAACCGTGAAATCGGGTGGGTGAGACTTGGATGAAACCGGAGGCTTCGTCAACTCGCTGAAGGTGAGAAGTTCCATGAGCAACGGCGCGATGGGAATGAATCGACCCGTGCTCGCCGCCAAACGATTCAACAGCGCGACGAGTCGCAATCGGAGCGGGGCGTATCGAGCCGAAGGGAGCAAGCGCGCCGCGCCTAGGGCCACCTGAGCCAGAGGGTAAACTAAAGGCCTCAGCGGCGCGTCCTCTGCTTGCGCGTGCGCGCTCAAGACGCGCTCCCAGCACTCGAGACAGTTGACATATTGCCAGCAGTACACATTGCGAAACGACTCCTTACTCTTCGCAGTGAGCGCGCCACGAAGAAGCGACGCCAGCTGGCGAATGTAGCTGAACGCCAGAGGATACGCTTGCTGTTGGTCAAGGCCAAAAATTTCGACCACGCACGTGGACATGAACGCGATGTGCTCCACGGAGTCAACGTTGACGAACTTTGCGTTTGAGGCGAAAGTTCGATAAACTCCCTTGGCCACTCTTTCCAGGGCTGGCGGTGGAAGCCCGACCGCGATGGCGCGAAGGAGCAAGATGGCTTGCACACGAACCGCTGGTTCGCCGCTCCCAAAGCAGTGCAGTGCCGTGCGCGTGACTCTCTTGATGAGACGTTCAAACGTCGCCATGAATGGAATGACTGATTTGAGCTGACTAAGCACCATACCAGTCATCTCTGCGTCGGTTAAATTCCCGAGAAGGTGCAAAGTATTGCCGATGTAAGACTTAGCCAGAGGTGAAACCTTCTTCCATCTTGCGTTTGCGTGCGGTTTGAACACGTGACTCGGCTCATCGCCTTCACTCTTCACCCCGAGCAAGCCACGAAGGATACCGTCGCCATTCACGAGTGTGTACTGCACGAGCTCATGAAACGCGCTCGACGACGCCAACCGAACGCTCGATTCGTCCCCATCGTTCTCGTCATCGCCGTAGTGACACGCCGCTCTGTACGCCTGGAACAGTGCCTTCGCCCCGGCGAGCGATGTGCCGCCCTTCGCGTTGACGCAAAGTTTCTTCACCACTTCCGTCGTGAGCGTGCGCTGCTTTCTTTTCTTCTTTCGTCCACCTTCTTCGTCGTCTTCGTCCTCCTCTTCGTCGTCCGTGTCCTCCTCGTCCTCGTCGTCTTCGTCGAATTCCAACAAGTCTTGATCCTCCGTCTGCAAAAATTCATAAAACTCCGGATCCGTCTCCTTGAGCTTATCGAGCGTCGCCTTGTGCGACTTGACCTCGGTCGAAATCTTCGCGTTCTCATCCCTGAGTTCGTCTAGTTCGTCATCGGAGCCGTCGTCGCTCTCGCTCTCTTCCTCCGCGTCGTCTTCGTCCTCCTCGTCCTCGCCCTCTTCGTCTTCGTCTTCCTCCTCTGAATGCTCCATGTCTGAACCCTCCTCACCCTCGCTCTCCCCACCGTCCTCCTCCGCATCAAAATCACTCTGATTCAAGAACTCATCGATCGACATCTCCTCCAATCGCCGCGCGCCGTCATCGTCCTCCGATGCGCTCCGCCCCTCGTCCTCGCCTGCGCGCGCGCGTCACCACTCGTCAGTCCTCTCGCCCCCCCCCGGTCACCGCGCGCGCGCGCACACACACCCCACGCACCTTCCGACGCCGACTGCGCGTCCGATCCACCCCGCGCGCCCCGTCGCGCGCGCGTCGCGATGATTTTCTTCGTCCGCCGCCGCCGCAGCTCCCCCGCGAGTTGCGTCCGCTGATACCGCTTCGTGCGCTTACTCGGCCGCGACGCCATCGCCGCCGCCCTCGCCGTCGACCTCACGGCCGTCGCTCGAGCGTCGCCGTCGATCTCGCGCGCGCGCGTCGCTCGCGCGTCGTCGACGCGCCGACGCGCCGTCGGCGGTCGTCCACCCTTTCGCCCGTCGTCGCTCGATCGGTGGTGCACCTTTGGAGCGACGAATCCAAAGGCACGCGTCCCTTTGGAGAAAATAGCCTCCACCGGTGGGCGTGTCGCTCGACGTCGGCGGTCGTCCACCCTTTCGCCCGTCGTCGCTCGATCGGTGGCGCACCTTTAGAGCGAAAAATCCAAAGGTACGCGTCCCTTTGGAGAAAATCGCCTCCACCGGTGGGCGTGTCGCTCGACGTCGGCGGTCGTCCACCTTTTCGCCCGTCGTCGCTCGATCGGTGGCGCACCTTTAGAGTGAAAAACCCAAAGGCACGCGTGCCTTTCGAGAGAAAACCGTCCACCGGTGGGCGAGATCGCTCGACGTCGCCTCTTCATGTCGCGCCCGTTCGAGTGTCGCGTCGACGGCGTCCGCGTCGTCGTCGCGGACGTGCGACCGACGACGACGCTGGGCGACGCCGTGCGCGCGTGCGTGACCAAGCTCGGGCGACGCGACGCGATCGCGCTCGCCGGGACGGACGACGACGGGCGCGCGGCCACGCACGCGGCGTACGTGGACGGGAGAGATCACACGCGGGAGCTCGGGACGGCGGTGCGGTTGTTGAACCTCGGCGTCGGGGCGCGAATCGAGGTCCGGGCGATCGCGTCGGGACGCGTCGGACGCGAGGGGGGGGTGGGACGCGGGACGGCGTCGAGCGGGGGGCGCGGGGGGGGGCGCGACGCGAATGCGGGCGAGACGCGGACGTCGACGGGCGCGGAGTCGATTGAACGGGATTTTCGGGTGATTCGTCGAGCGATGGAGATCGAGGAAGGACCGGAGGTGCCGACGGAGGAGGAGCCGGATGGGTTTTTTGAGCTCACGACGGTGGACGCGCGAGGACTCGTCGGACGTCCAAAGGCGGAGCCGATTTTGATGACGAAGAAGATGCGAGAGGCGGCGGAGGCGGGGAAGGCGAGACCGGCGCGGGCGGTGATTCGATTCATGGCGCCCATGCCGAGCGATTTGATCGTCGAGGCGTCGTTCTCGGCGAGTGAACGGGTGCGTGATTTGTACGCGTTTGTCGAGCGGTGCGCCTCGAGCGCGGACGTCGCGAGTAAGATCGAGCTCTTCGTAACCCCGCCCAAGCGCGTGCTGGCAAGGAACGACGAGACGACACTTTTGAGCGCAGGCATGGCGCCCGCGTCGCGCGTTCGCGTGGGCGTGAAGGGGTCGTCGGGGTTGTTTGCCTCTGCGAGCGAGGCCGAGGCGCTCTTCCGAGCCGACGTCGTCGCCCTCGTCGCCGAGCAAAGACCGACCGTGCGCGTGGTGGAGAAGAAAGCGTCGGAAGTGACCACATCGAAAGCGCCCGCGGACGCTCGAACGGCGGAGGAAAAGAAGAAAGCTCTGGCGGATAAACTAGCTCGAGGAGGTAAGCCATCTTGGCTGAAACTATGATGCGACATTTCAATGCAACGCTAGTCTGAATCGCGCTTCTCGTCCTCCTCCTCTCGGAACATCGGCTTCGGCTGCGTCTTCTCGTACGCTTGCTTCGTATACTTAGGGTTCTTCGCCGCCTCTTCGGCGTGGCGAAGGATGGCTTCGCGCGCGTCCATCGTCATCCAGTTCTTCTCGCCCAACTCCTCGTTGTTCTTCATCAGATGCTGCGTGAGAAGCGAGCTCCCAGTGCCACCGCTGAGGATGCCGCTCTTATCCATACTCACCGCAGCCTTACCAGGATTCTTACGAAGAGCCTTGCGAGCGATGTCCGTGGCGTCGAGCTTGCGCTTTCCGGGCATCGGTTCTTGAAACGCCGGAAGCGCGTTGGGAGTGTACGAGATCTCTTGCACATCGATGCGCGCGAAGTCAGAAACCTTCTTTTTAGCTACCTTACCGACCGCTTTGACGACGCCCTCCATGGACTTCTTCGCATCGTATAGCACGCGCACTTCTCCACCCTTGGCGTCACCGCATCCGATGAACACTTGATTGAGTCTGGGATGCCACGTCGCGGCGATGCAGTTTCTTGGCGTCGACACGCGTCGAACCATTTCCAACTTCTCTCGCGAGAAGAAGCACAGGCCGGCGGACTCACCATCTCGCTCCGCATCCACGCCGGTGAAAAAGTACACGTCGTTCGGCGACCAAGCGACGTTCGTCTCGCTGTGATTTGTGGGCAAGTTTCCGAAGCGCTTCAGCGGCTGGTTCAGGTTGCGCATGTCCCACACGTTAAGCGTCCCGTCACCGCACCTGGACACGAGCGTTCGCCCATCTCGGGAAAACGACATCGACGTCACCTCCTCATCTACCGGGTGCGCTTTCCTGAACAGATGACTCGGTCGCGCGTTGAACGACCAGTGGTTGTCCAGCTTACACTGCTGCGACGGTGGTAGAACCAAACCAATCGAGGCGGACTTGTATTGAGTTCCCTTTGACGAGAAAATTTGAATGCTCCCGTCGTTGATCCCACCCGCGATAAGGTCACCGTCGTGAGAGTACGCGCAAGACGTCACATGCACGCGACCGGGCTTGATCTGCTGTGGTTTGAGCACCGCTTTTTGTGAGCCCCTGGGATCGCCGAGATAGTTGATGTCCCACAGTCGCATGCTCCCATCCTCGCCGGCGGTGCACACGGTAGATTTATCGATCGGATTCCACTTCGCGTCCGTCGCCGCCGCGCAGTGTCCCTTGGTGTTGCGCAAATCTCTGATGTACATGTCGCCCTTGTCGAACTCGCCGAGCTCGGTACCGTCGTGGCTGTGCACCGTCGGTTGCCAGTTCCCGCTCGCCGCGACGAACATGTCTCCCGTTGGTGACCAATCGATGGCGTGCATCGGGTACCCCTCACGCACAGTGATCGTTCTAAACGGTTGAAAATCATTCTTCATCCCCGCGAAGTCGTACAGGCGCACGACACCGTCCGAAGAACCGCACGCCATTCGCGTTCCCGAGCGGTCGATCCCTACGCACGTCGCCGGTTTGTTATACCCACCCATCACCGCCTCACTCGTATCCGGGATCGCGTCTTCTTCATCGTACTCATCCTCGCTCTCTTCTTCCTCGCTCGAAGCCGCCTTTTCGCTCTCCCGCGCGGTCGTCGTCGGCGTCGCGCGGTCGCCTCGCGCCGCCGCCTCGCGTTCCCATTCTTCACCACCCTCGCTCGTCGTCCACGCGCTCACCCCACCGCCCTTGCCAAACTCCATCGGAAACGCCCTTCGCGCGTCGCTCTCCTCGTCCGCCACCGCCATCGTAGCGCTCGCGCGTTCCAGTCGTTCACGCTTTTTCAACAAATCCAACATTCGCGCGTCCCCTCCCGCCGCCTTACGCATCGCGCGCTCTCGCGCGAGCGCCATGAGCTCGGCCTCGTCGTCTTCCATGATCGCCCGCGGGTTCTATCGCGCGCACGTCGGCGCAGGCCGTCGAGAAGTGCGGATGATTCGAATCACGTCGCGTGACGTCCTCGCCCGCGCGTCACAAAATGCTCGCCCGCGTCCTCTCTCGGACCGCGCGCGCGCGCGTGATCGCGCGAGCGACGAAAAAGCAACAGCGCACGTCATCGCGCGCGACCTGGGACGGCCTCGAGGCGTGGCGCGGGCGGGGGAGCGATGAAAAGCGACGTTGGGCCGAGGACAAAAATGAACCGAGCGAAGACGAACGCGCGTCGACGAACGCGCGGACGTCGACGTCGACGTCAACGTGCCTAGCGACGATGGCGCGACGAGTGGTGATGACGGCGGAGCCGCGAGAGAAGGCGAGGTTGGCGCACGAGGCGTACGAGGCGGTCTTGGCGGGCGAGGCCGCCGTGGCGAGCGACGGGTTCGTCGGCGCGCGCGCGGAGATGCCTCGCAGGCCGGCGAGACCGGAGAAACCGAGATTGGTGCCGCCGAAGGATGTCCCGAGCCCGAAGAATTCACCCCTCGGGGCGGTGGCGCACGTGATGCACAACGTGGCGCACATCGAACTGAACGCTATCGACTTGGCGATGGACACGGTCGCGCGATTCGCTTCGTTGAGAGGGGCGCTTCCCGATCAGTTCTTCATCGATTTCGCTCACGTCGCGGACGACGAATCGAGACATTTATTATGGTGTTTGCAACGATTGGAAGAGCTCGGGGTGGAGTACGGGGACATGGTGGCGCATGACGTCTTGTGGGAGGGCGCGGAGGCAACTGCGGAGGATCCGCTCGCGCGCTTGGCCGTCGTGCCGTGCATGCAGGAAGCGAGAGGTTTAGACGCCGGCCCGCGTTTGGTCGAACGGCTCGTTGGGCACGGCGATAATCGATCGGCGTCCATCATTCGACGCATCAGCGACGAGGAGGTCGGGCACGTCGCTGTCGGTGCCGCGTGGTTCCGAACCGTCTGCGAGGTCCTTCGCGACGTCGATGCCGAGACATCCGGCGAGGACGTAGCGGCGGCAACGTTTCGCTCGTACATCCGTCGTCTCGCCCCGGACGCTCTTCGCGGTCCCTTCAACGTCGAGGACCGCGCGCGCGCTGGCATTGATCCATCTTGGTTCACCGACGACGTCGCCTCGGCCGTTCCGGTCGAGCGCCACACGCACGCGATCGACGTCGACGCCGCCAGAGCCCTTCGCGATCGTCTCTCGAACGTAGTCGAGATCGAGCAACGCGCGGCGCATCATTAGCTAAAAAACGCACGCCGGGCGACCGCTCTTCACACGCTCTCGCGCTCTCGCGCTCTGACAATACACATTTTTTTACTCAGCGCTCCAGCGCGCGCCTCAATACACCTCCTCACATCATCGCGCGCGCGTGTTCCCCGCGAAAACCGCCCCTCGAGACGAAAACCACGTCCAGGATGTCTCTCGCGAGCGCGCGGACGTTGACGCACCAGAACCGCGTCATCAAGCGCGCTCGCGTGGTGAAAACCTCAACCTCGAGCACTGTGAAGCAACCGACGCCGTCCCGTCGCGTGCAGTGCGCGGCTGCGAACGCAGAGGCGAAGAAGTCCACGATAAGCGCGCACCGATGGTCCACCGACGTCGACGCGTGGGTGATCGAAGCCCAAGATTGCGCGCTGGAGGAGGGCGAGCGGTTGATCGTGAGCGTCCCGGCGACGAGCGCGAACATGGGACCGGGATTCGATTGCTTTGGATTCGCGGTGGACGTCCGGAATGAGTTGATCGTGGAGAGAGGGAGTTTTGGGATCGATATCGAGGGTGAAGGGAAAGATGAACTACCGAGGGATGAGACGAATGCGATTTACACGGCGGTGAAGGTTGGTTTTGAAGCCGCGAGGCCGGGAAAGACGCTGCCGAGAGACCTGAGATTCACGAGCGTGAATCGAATTCCGCCGGCGCGCGGGTTGGGGAGTAGTAGTGCGGCTTTGGTGAGCGGGCTCGCGTGCGGGCTCGCGCTCGGTGGGATGGATGTTGAGGCGCCGCGCACGAAGCAAATTTTGCTCAACCTGGCGAGCGACATTGAGGGGCATCCAGATAACGTTGCGCCGGCCATCTACGGCGGCTTCCAGATCAGCATCAACGATAACAACCAATGGATCACTCAGCGCGTGAACTGCCCGACGGACGTGCAGTCGGTGCTCTTCGTTCCGAAGTTTCAATCGCTCACCTCGGAGACGCGCGCGCAGTTGCCGAATGAGCTTCCTATGTCCACGGCGGTGCATAACATCGCCCGTGCGGGCTTGCTCGTGAACGCGTTCGCAACGGGTAACTTGGAACTTTTGCCGTACGCGACGCAGGACATGATTCACCAACCCATTCGCGGCAAGCCTTTCGGCTTGGACGCGCTCATCGACGCCGCGCTCAAAGCTGGCGCGCAGGGCTGCTTCATGAGCGGCGCCGGACCGACCGTGCTCGCTGTCGTGGGCGGTCACGGTGGCTCGGTAGAAAATGATACGGCCGGTACGTACAAGGCGAGCCGAGTCGCAGACGCGATGTTGGCGGCCTCTAGAGCGAACAACGTGGACGGTGAAGTCATCATCGCATCGCCAACGGAAACCGGAGTTGCCTGTTTTGTCGAATTCGCGTAGAGAATCAACACATCTGATGCATGTAAGTTTCTAAATAAGCTACGTCTATCTAATCTTCTAGTGTGTGGGACGCACGTACACTCGTCTCGATTCAATCGGCGGCACAAACTTTGCTGATAATCTCTCTGCGCTCAGAGCGAGTTCGGGAAGCATCATCTCTCCGGTGCTAACAGGCACGAGCAGCAGGTACAGAGACGCGTTCGACAGCGGAGGCACATACATTGTCGTGCGTCTGTAGCCCGAAAACACAAATCCAGCGCTATCGGTAACTGCGATCTTGATGTCGTGATTCAAGGTCGTCGTGTTCGTCACGCGAACTTCATACGTGAATGGCTCGCCAATGAAGAGCTTCGGTGGACACTTGAGCTCAACGACGAGCGGAGGCTTTGAACCCGTCACGTTTGGTAACCGATACTCGTTCAAAATGATGGTCGGAATGCCGTCTTTGCACCTCGAGTCGCCGTGCGCTCGATGCCACTTCACGCGAATGGAGTCCTCTCCGTGTTCCTGTGCCCGAAGTGGTATGATGTGAAGAAAGGCGTCCCCTTTCTGAAGCGTCGCGTCGACGCTCGTTTCTGTTTTCGTAACCGCCGCTTCGTTGGAAGCGTCCTTCGTATCGTAGCTCTGCACTCCGTCCAACGCAATTTCGGTCGGACCACCGACGTGAAGAGTGGCCAACATTGTTCCCAGCGGTGGCGACTTTGAACATTTGTCCTCTTGAAGAACCAACGGCGATTGTCGATACGCCGGGAGGTACGCTCTCTTCACGACGAATGGATCATCACATGAGATTTGCGCGACATTTTCCACGGGCGCCGTTCGCGGCTTGTCTTTGAACTTCTCCGTCATGCGTGCGCCTGTTCGTTTCGCCGTGAGCGACGCATGCAGTGCCGCTGGAGGACACTCACCCGTCCATCTTAGGCAAATCATCCCGGTCCACTTCGCGTGCAGCGCTACGTCGCCGATGATAATTTTACCCGCTTTGATCTCGTCGCCTTCGTCAGTGAGAATTTGCACATGTTTCGAAGGCTGGTCGTTTTCAGTCACCGCGAGAACAAGCTCAGCTTCTTCGAGCTCGTCTGCGACGCTCATGACGGTGACGACGACGCGAGACATCTCACCTACGAGTGCCGGTCCGTCGGGCGTCCTTATGGAAATCGTCGCACGAGGCGGCGCATCGCTCACATCGAGCACGTGCGTCTTGATTCGCGTTTTCAGAACAGACGCCGGTAAGCTCTCATAATCCCGATTCGCTGCAGTGCAATCACTCGTCTGATTGTTGATCGGCAGCACGAGTTCGTATCCGGAATCTAGCGTCAGCGTCAGGGAGTACGCTTCGCATATGTGTCCGCACTTTGGTACCACTTCGAATGATAGCTTATTCCACTCCTTCAAGCGAAGTGTTCGAGGTGTTGAATCGCTCCACTCGTATGCGTCGGGTTCTGTGAAGTCAACGTCGATGTGCGTTACCTTAACATCGCCAGCGAGGTTGGATCTAAGCGCGACGTGGAATTGCACGGGTTCTCCCGGAACGCAATCGACGCTCGAGAAACCAGCCTTGAGGATGAACAAATTCCCGAGATTCTCCTCGCATGTGATCGTCGGAGTGTCCTCGTCCTCATCGCACGCTTCATTCATCGCCGCGAGCGCCGCCGCAAGCGCCGCCGCGGCGTGCTCGGTAGTCTCGTCTCCTAGGGCCGCCATTTCGAGGCAGATGTTCAGGTACGCTTCTTCGTCTCGAAGCGCCGTAGCGCACGCCTTGAGGTTCATGAGGACTGAGCAGAGGAGTTCCTTCCAATGTTCGCGCCTGTACACCACCGCGACGGTGTTGAAGAGTTTTTGTGCGCTCTCGTAATCTCCGGCGTGTAGATACTCGTCGGCGAGTTCGCATATGAGTGCAGCGAAGGATCGAGCGCCGATAAGACCAGCCGCGTTCGTCTTGTAGTGCTCGTGCGCCTTGGTCAGGAGCTCAATTGTCTCGCGTGAGATGTCGTCTCGCGTATCCTTCACGCGAAGGTACACCACGTATTGCTCCGCGCTTAGTGGCTCGTCATCTGTGCCAGCGATTTTCATCTGTCCCACGAAGGATCCGGGCTCAACCTTGACGTCCAGCGTCGGGGCGTCGCTCGCGTCAGCGACGTCGTCGAAAGCTCGACGCCTCTCCACCGAGCATCGAGCCGCGGCGTGAAAGTAAAATGCCGGAAGATGCGTGCGAGGCGTCCCCATGGGAGCGGGTGATGGCATACGGGCGTCGAGCAAGTCTCCAAAGACGTCGTATTGCGTCGCACGCCACTGATGAAACATCGGCAGCGCCTCGCGCGGTAACGCCTTGAGGGGAGACTTCGACCATCGTCGCATGTGCTCCTCGATCTGACGCACCGCCTCCGTGGGAGAACCACTGTGCAGAAGTAACACACATAGCTTAACATGTAAGACCTCGCTCACCTCGAGCGTCTCGATGATGTCTTGCGGGGACATGTCTTGCGTCACGTTTGGAATCGCTTCATACGACGCTCGATACCGTCGAGCCGCTGTTGTCCAATCCCCTCTAAACTCCGCGTACGCCCCAGCTTTGAACATGTACCGTACCCTGAGCGCCGCTGGACACGCCGATTCCTCGGAGAGCGCCGTCATACGCTCGCACTCGCCCTCGTACACTTTCACCGACAGCTCCTGCGCTACGCGCGCAGCGCGACTCCAATCCTGCCCTTGCGCCGTGTTCAGCGTCACGATTGATCGATTATCCACCCTCAAAGTCTGCCTGATCACCACAGCCTTATCCTCCGGCAAGTAATCCGGTAAACCCGGCCCACGCGCGACGACGACGACGCAACACGCCGCGCCCGCGTTGTGCGCCAATCCGTACAAGCGCTCCAACGAACTCTCGAGCGCACGTCTCGTGCCCACCTCGTTCTCCAGCGACTCGTTCTCGATCACCGCCATCACCACCGACGCTCTCTCCCTTCGATGTTTCGTCAACCACCTCCGTCGCAAAATCCCACGCAAATTCACCGATCGTCGATGTCCGCCCAGCTCGGTGGTCGAGTCCGAACTCGTCCCGCGCGCGCGTTGATCCGCGTATTCGCCCCCACTCGCGTCCAGTCTCACCCCCGACGCTCCCGCCCCCCCGCGAGATTCCCTCAGAGATGCCCGCACACTTCGCTTCCGCCCTCGGCTCTTCAGTGCGTCCTTTGCGTCGTCGAGACACGGTCGAGAGATTAATTCCATCGGCGGACGCGAATGAGCGAAAACATCCTTAATCTTTGCTTCCTGCACGTCGTCCACGCCGAGGGCGAGGACGAGGGCCAGGGGTGGGGTTCGTAGATCGTCTAACCGCATCGCGGTGACGGTGATGTGGGGGAGTGGTGGATTGTGCGGGTGGTGACTGCGTCGACGCGACGCGTTTCAACCGTCGGGACGCGGGACGAGCGACGGTGGTGGTGGGTGACGATATCGCGCTGAGGCGGCTAGTGTGCGTATTAATCTGTGCGCTGCTTTTTCTTCTTGCCGAAACCGGGTCTCCGGACGACGGCGACGAGTTCTTCATCCTCGGCGTCGCTTTCGGACGAGTCGTATTCCTCGGCGTCCTCGGAATCCGAGTCGTCGTCATCGTCGTAGAAATCATCCTCCAAATCGTTGTGCGCGTCGGCATCGGTATCTTCACCGTCACCACTCGCGTCGCTATCGTCCTCGTCGTCGTCGCTCTGAATTTCCGACGCCGGCGGTACCCAGCACCCCATGACGTCGTCGTACCCGCCGTTTTCGCGCCGACGCTTCTTCACTTCGCGTCTCTTCGCCCTCTCCGCCTCCATCTTCACCCTCGCCTCCTCCTTCGCCCGCGCGTTCGCCTCCGCCCGCTCCCTGTGTTCTCTCGCCTTCGTCTCCCGTTCGCGCGCCTCTTCCTCCAACGACTTCTCCGTCAACAACGGCGGCGGGTTCGGACCGCTCGCTCGCGCGAGCGCCGCCGCAAATTTCTTCCCCTCACCGTGCCGCACGATCGCCGCCTCCGTCGCCCGCACGCGCGCTCCTGTCAATCGACAGAACACGTACCCATCGACCGCCGCGCTCGGGACGACGTGCGGCTCGTACGCGCGCAGCGCCTCCCGCTCCCGTCGTCTCGCCACCACCGAGCGAAACTTCCCCCCGATCAGGTGCGCCTCCACGTCCGAACGCGCGCGCTCGAGTTCACCGTCGTCGCGCCACGTCCTGGCGTGTCCGGTGTCGACGCACGTCAGGCGAAACCCACGCCCGTCGGGCGCGGGCGCCAACTCGAGCGTCGCATCGGGGTGGTTCTTTCGCAGCGCATCGCGCAGGGCCTCCGCGGACGCGCGCGACATCGCGACGGCGACGCGCGCGGCGTCGTCGTCCGCGTTCGAGCGCGCGGCGCGGGCGCGCGGCGGCGTCGTCGCTTCGCGCGCGGCGCGCGGCGCGCCGCCGGGATGATGGCTGGGTGTGGTTCACGAGTCATGACTCGCGACGAGTCCCTCGAGACCGGTACATGCGTGTGGATGGGTTCGATGCACGAGTCATGACTCGCGACGAGTCCCTCGACACCGCGAGACCGGTACATGCGTGTGGATGGGTTCGATGCACGAGTCATGACTCGCGACGAGTCCCTCGAGACCGGTACATGCGTGTGGATGGGTTCGATGCACGAGTCATGACTCGCGACGAGTCCCTCGAGACCGGTACATGCGTGTGGATGGGTTCGATGCACGAGTCATGACTCGCGACGAGTCCCTCGAGACCGGTACATGCGTGTGGATGGGTTCGATGCACGAGTCATGACTCGCGACGAGTCCCTCGACACCGCGGTCGACCGCGCGCCCACCGCGCGCGCGCGCGCGACGCCGCGACGCCCCGACGATGTGTCGATGGATCTTCTACTACGGCGAGGAGGTGTGCATCTCCAAGCTCATATACGGCGCCTCCCACGGATTGGCCACGATGGCGGACCGCGCCGGATGGACCCCTGGATGCGCGCGGGACGCGGAGAGGAATCACGAGGTGAACGTCCACGGATGCGGTGCGTGTGCGAGGCGAAGGCGTCGATGACGACGGCGCGTCGCGGATGATACGGTCGTCGAAGGCGTGGTGACGTCAGGAATGCCGCGTGGGTTCGAGTGGTGGCGGCGTGGCGATGGGGGGGCGGCGAGCGGGGCGGGCGACGACGGCGCGCTCGCGCGAGCGAAGGCGCGACGACGCGAGCGACTGACGACCGGGACGGGCGCGCGCGCAGGGATCGGATGGTACGCCGCGGATAGGTGTGGGATGGTCGATAGACACGGGCTGGATGCGTACTGTAGACCGGCGGTGTACACCACGGTGGCGGCGCCGAGTCACGATAGAAATTTACGGTCGCTGAGCAAGTCGCTCAACGCGTCGTTGTTGTTCGGGCACGTGCGAGCGGCGGGACCGGGGGCGAGCGTGCATCAGTATAATTGTCATCCGTTTGTCCGAGGGCGGTACATGTTCATGCATAACGGGGACGTGAGCGATTTTAAATCGATTCGGAGGGGGTTACTAGCGCACCTGCGAGACGATTTGTTCGATCAAATCAGCGGGACGACGGATAGCGAATTGGTGTTTTCGTTAATCTTGAACGAGCTTCCGAACGTGTACGACAAGGTGGAGCCTAAAGCTTTGGAGAAGGCGGTTTTCAAAGCGATCTGTATCATCATTAAAGCGAACAAGGGTAAGGCGAATTCTGTGAATATCGCTATTACGGATGGAGAGACCATCATCGCGACGCGGTATCGCAACTCTGCGACGGAGGAGCCGCCGAGTTTGTATTTTCATCTCGGCCCGATGCCGGGGGAGAAAGCGTGGGATTTAGATAACACCGATGGCGTCGCCGGTTTCGATCAACTGGTCGATAGGAATATTCATAGCACAACCGGGGGGCCGCGTCAGAGGAGAAATCCCGCGTTTCAAGCCATCTTCCGAAAGAAAATTTTTGCCACGCAGTCTCTGCTGGTTTCGAGCGAGCCCCTGAGCGTGGCGGGTCTTGGAAACTGGCAGCTGTGTCCACCAAACTGCATGATCGTTTCGTACCCGACGAGACCGACCAAAGGTCGATGCTCTCGCGCGGATCTCTTGCGCAGCTTGAGCGAAAACAAGGGCTCGCAGACCACGAGACCCGAGGCGAGACCGAGCGACGCACCAGTGTTGGAGATCGAGTTTAAGTGTCTCGAAGATTTGTGCGATACAATTCTCAAGTTCAAGGAGGGGAATAAGGTTCCTTCGGAGATGAATCTCGCTGCCATGGGAGGGGGCTCGGTGAATTTGCTCGGACGAAGTGAAAGCTTCACCGACTTCGGATCGCATGATGGAAAGGGTATCATCACTCCGCCGAACAAACACGAGCCCTTCATTCCGCTTCCCGAAAAAAAGTCAGTGACGAACGCGAGAGGTGGGATGTTAGGCTTCTCGTCGCTATCCAGGGAGTTGCGAGCGACGTCTTCGCTCGTGGGCGCGCCGAGGCAGTCGATCGACGTTCATCAAAGTCCTGAGGATAGCACGGATTCATTGCGTCGATTGATGATGATGCGTAACAGTGATCCCATGGCACCTTCATCATGGCACGAGGGTTCGAAGTATTTGAACGAGGCGCGATCGCGGTGATAGGCCACGTTCGCGGTATTACTTTTCAGCAAGCTTTGCGAAACATTCTGGTCACGTAGTTCTCGCTCGCAATTGGATTGATTTTTCGTTGTAATATCACACTTTGATCTCAAATCATCACCTACAGCTGATCCGCGCGAGCAAGCGAAATAATAATGGATGAATTCGGCAAATTATCGCGTCGGGTTTTCCGCCTGCGCCTCGACACTGAGCGTTGGAAGAGCGTCAAACAGGTGCCCCATTTTCATGCGCTTGGCGTCGATGTATCTTTTGTTCTCCATCGTTATCGGCGCAAATAAGGGGACACGACCGGTGACCTTTAATCCGTATCCGCTCAATCCATGGTACTTGGCCGGGTTGTTCGTCATCAGACGAAGGGAAGTGACACCGAGATCCTGAAGGATTTGCGCACCCACGCCGTACTCGCGAGAGTCCGCCGGGAAACCGAGATCTTCGTTCGCTTGAACGGTGTCTCGCCCCTCGTCCTGCAAGTTGTAAGCACGCAACTTGTGTCCCAAACCGATGCCACGCCCTTCTTGTCCGCGAAGGTAGACGATGCAGCCTTGACCCTCCTTGGCGACGCGTTGCATGGCCAAGTCGAGCTGGTTCCCGCAGTCGCACCTCGCACTCTTGAAAATGTCCCCAGTCAGGCACTCGCTGTGCACGCGAACGAGCATGTCCGGTCCAATCGCGCTCGCAACATCGTGGTCGTACTCGCCGTAGAGCAGAGCCACGTGCTCGATACCGTCGAGAGTGTTCTTGTAGGAGACGCACGTAAAGTTGCCCCACTCGGTCGGGAGACGAGCCACGGCGGTGCGCTCAACGAGCTTCTCCCGCGCGCGACGGTATCGAATCATGTCTTTAATCAACACCATCTTCAATCCATGCTTTTCGGCGAACACCTTGAGCTGCGGCAAGCGAGCCATGGAGCCGTCGTCGTCGTTCACGATTTCGCACAACACGCCCACCGGCGAGCATCCCGCCATGCGCGCCAAGTCCACAGCCGCCTCGGTGTGACCCGCCCGCTTGAGCACCCCACCAGCCTTGTACCGCAACGGAAACACGTGTCCAGGTCTCACGAACGCGTTCGCCGTCGTCTCCTCCGCACCGAGCGCGTTTATCGTCGCCGCCCGTTCGCCCGCCGATATCCCCGTCGTGCTCGTCGCCAAATCCACGCTCACCGTAAACGCCGTCTTCATCGCATCCTTATTACTCTTCGAATCCACCATCAACGGCAGATCCAACGCATCCGCCCTGTCTTCCTCCAAACTCACGCACACCAACCCACTGGTGTGTCGAATCATGAACGCCATCGACGCCGCCGTCATCTTATCCGCCGCCCCAATCAAATCCCCTTCATTCTCCCGATCCTCGTCGTCCAGCACGACGACGAATCGCCCGCGTCGAACCTCCTCGAGCGCGTCCTCGACCGAGGCGAACCCATCCGTGGGCGCGTCCGCGTCGCCGTCCATCGCCCGTCGCGCGCGTCCCCCTCGCGCGCGTCGTTCGTCCACCGCGCGCGCGCCGTCACGGCTCACCCCACGTCGCCCCGTCGCGCGCCACCGTCCCGCGCGCGCCGCGACGGGCGCCGCGCGCGCGC